GACTCACTTTAATGTGGCACACCTTTCAATAATCTACGCAAGCCATTATTCTTCAAATTTGAAGTAAATCCCAAATTCTTCTCATCCTGTTTTACTCGTTTTACCTCTTCTCTTTATTCTACTCTCTTACATTATGTCTTTTCCATGCCCCCCCCTCTCTCTCTCTCTCTCTCTCTCTCTCTCTCTCTCTCTCTCTCTCTCTCTCTCTTTTAACCAAATTCTTTTCACACCAGTAACCACCGTTCTCTCTATATCTGTACTATTGGTGAATTAATACCGTGTGATATTTTGACTTCTGGCTTTCCCAAATAGAACAAAAACCGAACCATCATAATGTTTTATTGTAATCTCACCCCAAAATGACCGCATTAATTTAAAGGACAAACAACGCTCTAGGAACGCGCCGATTTAACCGAAGATATTCCCCGCCGCTCTCCCCACAAAACACACCATGAATTACGCACTCGACCGTAAATAAATTAACCTCAAGTTTCCGCGTATCTGCTCTTTGTTTAGCTTTTTTTATTACAGGGGTCCGCGTTCAGTTTTTCAAGGTCACGTGTCACACAGTAGTGATGAACACAATGAACGCCAAACAAACTCGTTACGGTTTTAATTGACACCCATCCATCACTTTAATCAAACCAACGCTACCATCTTATTTAAGGAACCGACCGATCCCCAATTCAGAGTTCCTACGAATTGCCGGCATTACCTTCACCACACACGCACGCGTCGCCAATAAATACCGTCTGTCGAACTGAACGCGTTTCACTCACTAGGTTCACACCACTCCAATAGAAGGCACGAACTCGAAGCACGTCAACGTTCGCTTTTCCACCCCGATATATCCGTAGACTGAAGGAAAGTAACAGGTGCCCGCTGCAGACATCAACATGAAATCCAAGACGCTAACAAATCATTTTATTATCTGGCTGTTGCTAGGATACGCTATCACGGAGGTACGTCAAATGTTTGTGGTATTGTTTTTATTGTTGCCACTTTATCTACTTCTGTTGTCATTGTAAATTGTCGATTAGTTGTGTCATCGCTGCCAGTATTGATATGTTAAGTTATCGACGCCTCTGTGTGTGTCTGTCTGTGTGTGTGTGTGTGTGTGTGTGTGTGTGTGTGTGTGTGTGTGTGTGTGTCAGTTTTTACAGAATGTCCATACAGTTGCAAGCACGCGGTCACATGTCACCTTACATGTAGTCGTTATACAGGCGTTGCTGTTGTCTTTTCTTGTAGCTGCCATTCAGATCTCAAGAAGATGCCCTTACCAATAATATAACGATGCTACTGCAGCTGCACTGGTATCGTTGTTATTACATTCATATTCACGTTTGCCGGTTGCCACTAAAGTTGTTTTAATTGAGGCTGGCCCAAAAGTAAAATCAGTAAAAAATGAAACGTTGGATTTTTCAGTAACTCTACACACAGAAGGCGCTTAAGATCGTTTGCACATCTGCAGGAGACTGGAACGTTTTTAAGGACGAGCCAAACCATGGCGCTGATGCCTTGGGTTTTTAAATTCCTATTTCTAACTTTCTACATCAGAATAATCGTGTTTTCAAAGGGTGAAGTGGGTCCATGTAACCGGCTGAACTACACAGTCAAGCTCGAGTTACGGAAGAGACGTAATGATTTTTGACACTTACAATATATTCAATTTAAAAAGCGCGATAATACGCCAAGAACACGAACGCGCAGACAGGGAACCGTTGGGGCTGGCAATGGGGACGAGCAGACAGGGAACCCTTGGGGCTGGCGATGGGAACGCGCAGGCAGGGAACCCTTGGGGCTGGCAATGGGAACGCGCAGGCAGGGAACCCTTGGGGCTGGCAATGGGAACGCGCAGGCAGGGAACCCTTGGGGCTGGCAATGGGGACGAGCAGGCAGGGAACCCTTGGGGATGGCAATGGGGACGAGCAGGCAAAGGAAAAAGATAAATTAGTAATAAAAAGTTTACCTACAACTGGAAATTATTTCAGTTTAAATGTCCATTACTCTGCCAGTGAGGTGTGCAGCGCACGGGTCTGCAGACTCTGCTTGGTGCTGGACAAAAACGCAGTTCTTATATTTATGACAGGTGCAATTTTGTTAGCGCAGCTGAGTGCGGTTACGATGAAATTTGTCCGCGGTTGGAATTGCTCGTAAAAACATCCTTACAAAATGTCTCAATGTTTCCTCGTTAAGCGACACACCATGTTGGCTAGAGCATTTAAAAAACTACGTTTGTGTATCTTTTAAATAGGCTCACGATTTTGATGAAAACAAGAAGTTTGAAAACTGGAGTTGAACTTTCCTGACAGCTGGTGGCCGGACAAAGTGCCGGTCAGTTAGAGTGAGAGTCCGCGTCAGTCTTAGCCGCTGGTCAGCTTGCACCTTTAAACCCCCTTTACACTGGACGGCGTCTTTTCTGCGTCCTTTGTGTAACCATGAAACTGACATCGCTGTGGCCTTAAAAAGTAGGCACAAACATCGCTTTGGTTGCAGAATGAATGCTCATTGATCGGCCAGTTGTCGGCACATTAATTTTTTTTACTCTTAAACGGGACCGTACTACGGGACGCAGAAGGGACACCGTCCAGTGTAAAGGGGGTTTTACTGATGCTTTGAACACCGAATTGATCCGACGTAACCCGCCATGTCTGGCGGCTAGGGCGACCAGCAAGTGGTATTTCTTTGGCCGTCTCCTCCAAATTACCCTAAATTTCTGCCTCTCACCCCGTGTTCTTGCTATGTCGTGTTTAACAGCGCTTGCTAAATGTTTCCAAGCCAAAAACAACACGTATGCCTCGGAAGAAATTGTTTTAAGTCTTTCCATGTTTTCTGTACCAAGTGTAAACAGTTGGAAATCGCGCCATTGCAAATAGAAAACTGAAACGCAACGGGAAGCATAAGAAATCTTCTTCATTAAGACCTTTAGGTCTCTCGTACTTACTCCCCCTCCCCCTCCCCCCTGCCCCCCCCCTTCCTTTCTATCCTTCGCTTCATGATTCGTAAAACGGAAACAAAATTAAATTGTATACATGCATTTCTTGTCAGCGTTTCCTTAAAGTGACGCAATCTTTCCCTACAAATGTAAACAATCCTCTGCCCACACCGCCACTGTGAAACAGATTGGTTATAAGAGTTCTGGCAAGATGTTAACATGTAGTACGACCAGGTGTTGAACTGTGACACGCCTAGAACACCCGGGGACAATCAGTGTCACACCTAACACAATTACATTTCTGTCACATTTTCATTGAAAGAGTAAAAAGATACTTCACGTCTGAAAATCTGTAGCCGCATTAACTTGTTTTAAAAGCAAGGTTAGGTGCACTTTTCATCATATATGCTACAATGCTTCGTCAAATGAAGAATATTTGCAAAAATAACCAAGAATAAAACCTTTCTTTTATTCAATTGTAGGCGTTGTTTGATGAGGAGCACAGTGATGAATCCAGCGCCCGCCTCATTCTTCAATCTGCTAAGGCAGCCATTGCAGGTAGAACATTTAGTCTTTTATGAGGATTGTTGGACTTTAAAAAGCGAAATGAGTGAATAAGTAGACAACATGCTGTCTGGTGAATAGGGAAATATATAAGAGTCAAAAGACTGAAATGAAAAAAGGGAAATAATCAGACGAATAAAGGATCTTTGGTCATTTTCTTATCGATAGTTATGTATTGAGAGAGAGAGAGAGAGAGAGAGCTTTGCACCTGACTACCTCTTGCCGTATTATCTCAGGACTGATTCAATTTTGCTTGGTTTAAACTACCCAGCCTTACTTTAATTTAGCTAAACTAAACCTGGTCCAGTGCATGTTTGATTTCTCCCCGTGCCACGTGTTGGTAGACCAGAGCAGAGTACGGGCCCTGTTAGACCGGCTCCGTCTCGCAGTTCATTCTTAAAACTAGAAAATATGGTTCATGCAACCTGAAGCCCTGTATTATTACTAACGATTCCGGCTGTTATACACAATATATGCATTCTCGTTAACATTCAATTGTAAATTCCAGACATGTTCAAAATTCTCAGCTAATGTAATACAAACTAAGGCACCTTGGATGGTGATGCACGTTAAAAGCGAACTAAAACTGCCTGTAAACTGAATGTGTGCATGCTTGCTCGTGTCCGCTCAAACCATTGGTGTTAATAAAGATAGATCACCTTCTAGAAATGACCCCGTGCTTGGACAGAACGCACGTGCACGGGCTTGTGTGAAAGCCCTTTAGATAATAATCTTAAGATCGACTTTAACAAATACCATTTGCACATGCATCTCTAACTGATGGTCTCAGTAGATGGAGAGAGAAAATACTTGTACGTGCACGCAGTACGTGTCGTCACTAACAACACGGACACACTCGGCTGTGTGCACAGCGGCCATGCACGTGTAACTCCACGACATGTGTCAGCCTCAAAAATCATCAGTTTATTACGTTATAACCGTCGCCACGGCTATTTTAATACTAATGGCATGTATATTTAAACCACTGACTGACCTACACATCCAGAGAATGGTCGTCTCGTTATTAACAGCACGCGCACGTCTCAACCCTGCATGCTTAAAACGCATACAAACGATCAGTAAACATAACTTCAGTATTGACTGTTTGTCCCAGGTGCTCTCAACAAGAGAAAGACCGTCCACATCAGGAGCTTAAGGAGAGGTACGTTAACGTTGTTGTAGAGATAGAATTAGTGTGTTCTGGGGTTATTTGATGCTAGTATAAGCAGAGCGATTTTAGCATAAAATCCACATTTAAACGATGCTGTGGCTGATCAAAATACAATATATGTACTTCGACAGAGAGAACTCTTTATAAAGTTGGGCAATTTTGCAAAGTAAAAGTTTTCGTAAAAGTATTCGTAAAAACAAATTGTGGGCTTTACGATATACTCTCAATATATAAACACATTGATTCATCATTCAAACCGCCATTTAAGTCATCAATTAGTCCCGACTGCCGATGAAAGAAATTTCCTGTCTCCACAAAGGATGGAGATATTCACTTTTTTTCACAAAATTGGCATTTAATTTCCCGTGATAGATTTATATTAACCATTACAACGACGCAGTCTCCGATGATTGAAAAAAAAATTGATAATAAACCAACACTTATGCTATAATGAAACAGCCTGTCTAGTTAACCTCATTTGAACGCTATGAATTCCGTTTTCGTGGTACTTGTATCCTGCCACTTGTAAAGCATAGGTGAGCCACCGAGGCGTCATCGCTTCCATAGGCAATTTCGAATTAACGTAGTACTGATTTATGTAGCTGTAAATATGTATTTAAATAAATGTGAGGAAGAAGTAGCGTGATGTAAATTTGGCGTCTAGGTTTAGAACGGCGGATGTCATATATGCTGATTTACTTTTAATATCCGATGGACCGACAATACGTTTGTCTTAATGAATATATCAACAAACAGTGTTTTCCTACACGTGATGTTGTAAGCAGGTTGTATCTTAAATCAATTCTGTAGAATGACCGAGTTTTACATTCAATAGAAAATTGCCTCTCTCTCTCTCTCTCTCTCTCTCTCTCTCTCTCTCTCCATCAACATATGCTATTCATCACTAACATATATCTGATCTATAATTTGTGACACAGATTGGGCAAATCATATGATGCTCAAAGAATAGTGCCAGCATTACATAACGTTCATTAATGTATATTTTAGCCGTTGCAAGAGAACGCGCTGACTCCTCCACCGTTCCCGAGTTAGCAGACGGGTCGGTCATCGCCGAGTTCGACATTCTTCTAACGCCGGAGCAAGACGAGGCACGGCACAGGACGAGATTCTCGCGGAAGGCGGTGAGATCCAGGAGATATCGCTGGCCACAGGGCATTGTGCCATACGAAATAGACAGCACTGTGGGTGTGTATATAGTTTACGTCAAGGCGCGTTCCATGGGAAATAGACTGCACATCAAAATGTCAACAAGAATTCAGTAAAATTAAAGAGAGTTCACTTTGATAATGTTCAGATAATATCATATCTGATGAATAAAATTCACACAAAACATCCAAATTACAATAATTATTTGAAACAAAGAAGGCTTGAAATTTATCATTTAAAGTAAAAAGAACGTTAAGTCTGCAAATAGCTTCGGTCTTAAGTGTATATGGTGGATTTGTTTAATGTGCGTTATCATCGTTTAAACTTGTGTTTAACAGATATTTTTTATAAATTATCATTCTTATTTATTACAAATCAAATGTTTCAGATGCGTTAAGTACGCGCGCTCGCGCCATCATCCGCCAGGCGTTCGCTCACTGGCAGGCGCACACGTGCCTACGGTTTGAGGAGTACGACCGCACTAAACACTACGCCACGCACCGCTCGGATAGACTAGTGTTTGTGAAAGGCAGTTGGTAAGTTAATTTAATAATTTGTAACGTTATGAGACGCTTTGTCAGGGATACAAAGGTAGTACTAAATTACGGTGAAACAAACGGGATATGCTAATATTTCGCAAATGATAAAATATATGTACTGCATCAAGTTGCCTTTCCTACACACAAGAATAGTAAAAGTTAATTTTTCTATTTTAAAATGATTCTTAAAATGAAACTTATTGAAATATTTGGTACAGTTTTATTTAAACGTTATAAGTTAAGTTTTTACCTCATCTAATCTAGACGTGTGTAATTATTTCTAGGTGCGCATCCAAGCTAGGTCGTATTGGAGGAAGGCAGCCACTCTACCTAGCAAGAGGATGTCTCGTAAGCCGCACTTTTTCTTGCTTGAGTAGATATAGTTCCCTTATAGAATGCCTGAAGTATGTTTATTTTTCAGGTTAAGACCTGACAGGTTAATAATATCCATAAATATAGCCGAAACATTCTTTAATACATTTCAATGTGATAGTTAACATATTATTGCATTGTGTTCTTGCAGAAAAAAGGCACTATCATCCATGAGCTGGGCCACACCATTGGCTGGATCCACGAGCAGTCCAGACCAGACAGAGATCAATATGTAACGTGGGTATACTATCAACACATTACACTGTCACAAACAATCTTTTATCACACCTAACACACTGAACACTGCCACGCCTCGCAATATCTGTTTCACCTAACACACTTGTCACACCAGTCACAATCCACTGTCTCACCCAACAGAATCCACTGTCACACCTAACACATTGTGCACTGCCACACCAAGCAAAATCTGTTTCACCTAACACACTCCTTTGTAACACCAGACACAATCCACTGTCTCACCCAACAGAATCCACAGTCACACCTTTTTCAATCCTTTGTCTCACTTAACATAACAAACAATGTCACAAAATGTTTATAAACACAACTTGAGTCATTTTCCACTATTTCTTGTTTCTAGTATTGACTTGGACCGTGTGTCATACACATACAAGGACCAGTATGCCAAGGAGCCATCCAGTTTTGTAGACACATACAATGTCCCCTATGACTACTACTCCATTATGCACTACCCCAGCAGTGGTAAGTAGTCCAGTTTGTAGACACATACAATGTCCCCTATGACTACTACTCCATTATGCATTACCCCAGCAGTGGTAAGTAGTCCAGTTTTGTAGACACATATAATGTCCCCTACGACTACTACTCCATCATGCACTACCCCTGCAGTGGTAAGTAGTCCAATTTGTAGACACATACAATGTCCCCTATGACTACTACTCCATCATGCACTACCCCAGCAGTGGTAAGTAGTCCAATTTGTAGACACATACAATGTCCCCTATGACTACTACTCCATCATGCACTACCCCAGCAGTGGTAAGTAGTCCAATTTGTAGCCACATACAATGTCCCCTTTGACTCCTACCCCTGCAGTGATAAGTAGTCCAGTTTTGTGAACAACATCCCCTATGGCTGCTACCCCAGTGGTAAGCAGAGATGTGGAGGATCTAAATCAGACATAGAATGACAATTCCTCCCTCATCACCTCATATTTAACATGATAAATTGGCAAACTTCATGTTATCTCATAGTTTATTGCCACACTGAATAACAGATAGAGCACATCTACCACAATGACATGTTACACCTACCACAATGATGTGTCACACCTACTACAACACAATGATCTGCTCCAGGTGAAATCATCACAAAGGACCGCCGTGCACAGAATGCCATAGGACAACGAGAGGGTCTCAGTTTCTACGATGCTAAGCTAGCTAACATCATGTACAGCTGTAGTGCCCAGTGTCCCTCCACTGTGAGATGTGCAGCCCCTGGGTTTGTGGGACAAAACTGTGAATGTATCTGTAAAGATGGCAGTGACTCTTGTACACTAGGTAGGAATCTGACAAGGTTCGATACTTGTGCAAGCAAATGTGACAAGTGTTCAATCAAATGTGTTCAGTGTTAAATGTGAAGAAAATAATCTCATTTGAATTCTTAAAATGCACATTTTCAGCAATTATAGCATGTTCTTACCAAAGAATATATATTACATACATATAAATAATGAAATAATTTCTATGCTTACACAATTATCTTGATCATCACTCAAATAATATCACCATACCATTCCATGCTTTGTAGATATGTGCATATTTTTTAACTTCATGTACTATTCCTACCACAGGGTCCACAGTTATAACAACTACCACACAGAGGCCAACTCCCAAACCTAAACCAACACCTACCACACCACCAATACAACCACCTGCTGTGATACCCAAAATAGGTAAGTGCTTGGTGATCTCTATGTGTTTACTTAAGTACACCAAACACAGGGTCTTCTGGAAGGCGGTCAGATTTTAAAGTTTACGTTGACGGGTATCTAATTTTTTTCATTTGAAAGATGGTCAAAAATAGAGAATAGATCAATAAAGATAAATGGGAAGACTGTCGGAAAATATCTCTTGATCCACGTCTGAAATCAACATTTGAATAAAACATCTGAATAAAATAATCAGGAATAATTAAAGCACTGTACCCATGTCATATTCAACATCTCTATGTTCCAGATTATTGTGGCTGGTATGTGTATGATCAGAAGTACATTAAAGGGGACAATAATGACCAACTGAATGAAGTATCATTGGCACAATGTAAGGAGGCATGCGCCAGTGCTCGCACATTCCATTGTAGATCTCTGGACTACTATAAGAGCAAGAGGAAGTGTTTTCTCAGTGAGAAGACTTATCAAGACCAGGGCAGTCATTTTGCCACTGACAGCAGAATGATACATTACCAAAGGAGGCCATGTTCAGGTGAGAGAGTAATGTCCACTTAGGATGACTGCATGGAAGGATTTGCCACATAAATTATTAATATTGATACACAATTGTATTTTTTTAACCATTTTCATTGTTGTCACATGTCATTGTAATACATGGAATGAACCCCTTCCTTAGCATCACATGTAGCACTATTAGCACAATGTCACAACCAATGCCATTCCAGTGTTCCACACTGTCACAACTAACACAATACCAGTGTTCCAACTGTCACAACTAACACAATACCAGTCTTCCACACTGTCACAACTAACACAATACCAGTGTTCCAACTGTCACAACTAACACAATACCAGTGTTCCACACTGTCACAACTAATACAATACCAAAGCCATGCTCTGCCACAATATGTATACTATCAGCCACCACAGTGGCAATACTTCCTTGAAAACCAACATTGTCAAACCCTTTAAACAACTCATAGCTACTAATCAATCACTGTCAAAACTAATGACCAGCTCTTTTTCAACCAATCTTTTGTTACCAACTTATTTGACCTCATTCCTTTGTCCTACTTACTGTGACCTACTTACTAACTTCCAGCCACTGATGAACCCCCCGTGGCCACCACCACCCCTGTCACTAACACTCCACCTGCCAGCGCCACCTGTGAGGCAGGCTGGCATGGATTCACTGTAGGGGGAGCCACATATTGCTTTTTAATTGTAAACGAGGCAAGCATTTATTTGCAAGCCAAAAGAAGTTGTGAGGTAAGTTGGTATACTTTTGTGTATTAAGTTTTATACCTTAACCAAAAGTTTCATCCAACACAATCAAAAATCACACTTAGCACAATCAGAAATCACACTGACATAAAATAAAACCTAGCACAATCTGGATCACAACTCACACAATCAGAAATCAAACATAATACAAACAGAATCACAACTCAAAGAATCAGAATTCACACCTACCGTAATTAAAAGTCACAATCAGCATAATCATATTTTAATTTCAGCAGGAAAAGTCTTAACAATTACCATGATTAATTGATACTTCTCGCACCATGCCATGAAATTTCATTACTTTTTCACCTTAATTCCAGCGAAGAAATGGTAATCTTATCTCTGGCCAGTCGCCTTCTTCACCTATCCTGTCCATGATAGAAGATGGACGCCTCTCAGCATCCAGCTACTGGTTGAAGAATGATCAGCTCGGGTTCCTGGGATTTCTGTTCTCCGACTGTGAATACCTGTCTCTCCAGGGTGGTCAAGCATCCATTGAAGAGAAGTCATGTACTGCTAGGATCCCCTATGTATGTGAGAGGGAAGGATACTAACAATACCTCATTGCATTCTATATGGCAAATATTTCACATGGTTTCAAGTCTAATTTAATTTTCCTCCATACAGTTTATATGGACCAATCTTTATTTCAAAGATCCTTAAGTCAAGATCAACCCAGCAAGGACCTTTGTAGAATCACAGTATTCTCAATATTCCACATGAAGTAATCCTCCTATCCAGGCCATCCTTCACAGTTCTCTAAGAACTACATCTAAAGACTTCCTATTTCTATGTAGCCTGCAAGTGAACTTCACAACAAATGACCAATTACACTGGAAAGCACTCCATAACCAGTGGGAATCATTCCACAAATCAAGAGTGTAAATACCAATCACAGGTGAAATTCTATGTTAAAAAACAACAGAGAATAACCTATTACCTTAAAATTTAAATTTTTATAAAATTCTGTAATATATATATTCTGTACAACACTCAGCATTACTTTGACATTGGCATCAGTGCAATAGTGACACATACCATTTCAAATTTTGACATTTCGTCTTTCTAAACAACTCATATACTGTAATATCAAGGACACAGTTAAACTTAACACACTGTCACATCTTGCATACTGTCAACCCTAACACACTGTCACTTGCTGTCACACCAAACACACTGTCACTTGCTGTCACACCTAACACACTGTCACACCTAACACACTGTCACACATGGCAGAAGCTTAGATAAAGGACAATCTTACATAACTGGTCAAATACTGACATTAATTTATTATATCATTTAACAATCATAAAAACAAGTTGACAATTATTATACCATTGTACTGTGTACAATGTGAAGATTTGACAAAAAATTGTATAACCTTATATCTGCACATAAGATGAATTATAACTTATGAGATAACATGTTTTCTGAAGTGCTAAAATAAAATTCATTTTTTGCATCTGTCTTCAATGGTTATTTTGTCATGAATCAAAAGTCATGAATAAAGTTTGCCCATCACACAGTTCAACACTTTCTCTCTTAAGCTGTCTTACAAAGTTGAATCTTGTCCTGTGTCTGTCATTATGAAATCAGTTACTGTGGTCCACACTACTGTGAAAAGATTTGCCAAAACAGGCTGGTCTCTGTATAATGCATACAATCATGTTATTCACTAAAGAGGAGGTGACCTACTAAATGTTCCCTTGATCTGTTATCTTTCCTCATCAATGGCAGCTCCAATAATGAGTTTGACTTTATCATAAACACCTAAAAAGATGCCACCTCCTATAGCAATCCACAGAGTTCTGGGAACAACACCAGCAAACAACCTGAAATAGTTTTAATAAAGAAGTGAATTTCAAAGAATTTAATCACTGACACCTTGTGCCTTTAACATGCTGATTGCAATTTAAAATACAGGTTATTGTGTGATATCTAAAACAAAACCCATAACCTTTAATCAAATGCTACACTAGAAGTTACCTAGCACCAGTTTTTGGCTGAAGGACAAAATCATTTCTTACAACTTTCTTGCTATTAACTTACCCTCTGGTTCCTTTCTCACCATACACCTGCTTCAGGGCAAACAGTAAACTCCCAGACGCCAGACAGCTGCCATGCTGGAGCAAGTAACATTACATCAGCACCACTTTAGAGCTTATATAATTATGTTAATTTTTTTTTGTTTTTATCAAAATCAGATACTGATAAGAAAAAGTAACAATTATGCTACAATAACCTTTAAGTAATGTGTAGAATGTTTATGATCAGCTGGGTTAAAATGTATTTTCTGAGGGAGTCTCTTCGGAAAACCTAAATCAAACATCATATAATTTGATTTCACAGTGAAACATTACTTCAATTACAGCTGGAGGGAGTGCAATGAAGAAACAATGGATCAAGATTTTATATGCCTTATTAACAGCAGCAGAACTACTGCCTGAGTCCCATCTTAAATCTTTTCAAGCTGGTTTGTACATGAGAGATGTTTCTTTCTGTAGATGCTATATAAACTGGCTGCTCACCTCTGCCAACATGATCCTTGTTTTAGCAACATCCAGAGGAGTTGTAACAGAGGCTGCTATAGCACCTGGATAAACAAGGGAAGGTATAAATAGCTTAATACACAACAAAATCCAAATATACAACTACCACTGATATATACCAATACACATAGCTGAATATATATCAATATTAGTAGAAAATAATTTGGCAAATCTAATCAAAAGATTATTAAAACTTTATTCCATTTAATTTGGAAATTTTGATCAGTACTGAGTGTGTAGCTGCCATGTTGCCATGGTGACTAATCACAGACATACCAGAAATAGCACCACATATAGACGACTGCCAGGGATTAACAGATGCTCCCTGTCTTCTAGACCAGGACTTCTGGAAGGGGTTCACACACATTTTCAATTAACAATTACGTACTAACACAGATGAAAATGACAGATTTTTTCTTTTTCTCTCTCTTAAATAAATAAATCAATAAATAAAAAATGATAAAAATTTAAAGAAATAAAAAAATTCAACTTTCTCTCAAAAAAAAAAAAAACAAAAATAGGACAAAACAGAAAAATTTACATTCATGAATTGATATAACTAACTGCAAAATCAAAGCACTGCTTAAATATGGTATAACATGTACAAGCTAACCCTTTACATGCAGTACCGTTTTTACCTTCATAATTTCCCAGAGAGGAAACTGTATAAATGAGAATGGAATCTCTCTGAGCACAGTAGTTGTATAGCCCCTATACAGCCCCCGGATACCCTGGGGAAACAAAAGGTGTTACTAGGCTTTAAATGATCATAGGCAAAATACCTGCATCATCATTATCAGTATATACTTAGTGTGACACATTATGCTGTGAATGAGTGTGATCACATGTTTGTTGTTACACAGTATAAGGAATGGCAGTGTGTTAGATGTGGCATTGTATTAGGTATCANTGTTACTGTGTTAGTTTTGGTAGTGTGTTAGTGTGTGATCGGGTATTTTGCATGTCAAAATTTAAAAAGACTCCCTTTATTTGTTTATTAAAACTAGTACACTAACAAAGATATGAGTCACATTATTCAAAACTACACCAGGCACCTATCCTACCTCTTGCTGCAGAGTTGTCCTAAAGATATCCAATACTCTGGCACTGGGGTTGGCCTGAGCCCGCTGCTTGACCACCTCTGTGGGCACTCTGGCCAGACAACCTGCCTTGAGAATAGACAAAACTAGAGGATAAAAATAATAATTTTAATAATGATTATAATACTGTCCCACACATTGTCACAACTAACACTGTAAAGGGCATAACCTACCACCCCTTCAGTTAAGTATAGTCCACACACCCCTATTTGAATAATAGACAATGCCACCTAGAGTGAGCAGTTCATTACACAGACACTTTAGAAGCAAGCAGTTGATTTTTATGCAGACACCTAAGAAGCTAGAATTTTGTCATACAAAAGAGGACTTAAAATTGTAAGTTTCAGTTAATTGTACTATATTTATAACTGTCATTATCACTATCAAATTTATATGGAGTTAAATTTTGGTTTGGGGTATGTATATTGTAGTTTACAAGTCTCAGTAAAATTAGGGTGTGGACTTGTGGATAATTTCAAAAGTAGTGTGTCATTTTTCTTTATTATTTAATGTATTCACTTTATTAATATTTATTTATCTGCCTGATTCTTTATATCTATATATAATGTGATCTAAGGTTATTGTCAGTTATTTAAGCAATTTTTTTTTTTTACAGATTTGAACCATACATACATACATACATAAGTATCGTCACACAAGTTTGTGTAAAGAGACAATAAATCAACCGTATGAGTACAAATACAGTCTCCTCTTTTTGTATCGAAGTGTCACCCGTTAGAAACACAATTCCTCACCACTTCCCCACATGCTGTCACAACTAACACAATGCCTCACCACTTCCCCACACGCTGTCACAACTAACACAATGCCTCACCACTTCCCCACAC